TTGCTTCTACTGTCCACCAAGACCACCATACGTAAACCACTGCTTGCGATTTTATGCATTTAGCTTTCCTAACAGGTTGTTATTCGAATCAATACACTCGTCTGTCAATGTGAACATGCAAAAATAAAATTACATGTAAGGGTAGGTATGCTGAATTTTAGTTGCATTTATTCACTTCTGGTAGCAAAGTTTGTGTTAATGTTGAGTGACCTCGCCCACATCCCGGATAGTGGAGTAGGATGCTTCCAGTCGTAAGATGAATTTGACTTTAACACTAAACTACCAAATTAGTAAACAACGGTGGTCTGATCTCAGCTTGGATGAACTCTACTGAAATGTGTTTCGGTTCTGAGTTCGACTCTCTTTGGAGGATTTATTCACTCCGGCAGGCGCCTCCTCAGCAGTCTCGGTTTCACCAATCGCTCTGGCCGGTAGTGCGCAAATTCGAGAACACACCCACTAGCTTCCTTTTTGTCGCCTCTTGATCTCCATCCCAAACGCATTATAGCAACACAAGAACATTGACAATTTCAGCAGCAAAGGAGAGAACCTCTCGATTCTTTGGTATTGACCAGTCTCCCACGGCCTATATTAATTTACCCACAATCTTGGGAGTGACGATCTTATGCATCAAACAATGGAGCATCATTTGAGAAAAGCAGCATTTACGAAGCTTTGTTCTGAGTTCTAGCTCAAGCTGTTGGTCATCGTGGCCATAAGACATGGTCAACCAAACGAAGTGGTGCAGTCCCGTTGCCCAAAACATGAAACTAATATGCTCATCTATGGGCGAATTCGATCCCAAGACAGAAGTAGCTCAAATTCAGCTGCTCCTACCTTACTTTTCCACGAAGAGTTCAAGGCGCTTTCAACTTGCGCCCCTCCAGACCAGCATGGTGCGTTAAACGATGAAAGCACTCCATCAACTAATGGACGTATTCAAACCCAACAAAGCACATTCATCAGCTCACAAAAGCAAAGCGTGGAGTAGTCCAACTTGGACAAAATTTGCAAGTGGTGGGCCAAATATGAGAGGCTGAGGTGGCAATTTATTGATAAATTGGTCGCTGCGGTATGTCAAGGGAAGACTTCACTGCTAACATCAGACGAACATTTATAATCTCTCCGAAGGTTGCTTAAACACGATAATGACTCAGTTTCCCCGCAAACCCATTCTCCCATTCATCACTCAGATCTGAGACTATGAAGAAAACAGTCGACTTCAAATAACCTTAACAGGTAAGTAAATTTGCCACAGGAGTGGAATGCATTTGAAGAGCATGATTTTAATCTCGGTATTGCCAGTTGGATGAACTTAAATCACTGACCTCTAATGAATTTTAACATCCCTAGAACGCCTATTATCATGGCACGTGCAACAATAAAAAGGCAGAATTTACGTCTCTTACAGCTCGAACATTTGGCCCAGCACTTGCGAATTGTGCACAAAGCGGACTGTTACTCTTTTCTCATGTGTGCCTAGGTGTGTGCTATCTTGGACTTTAATGTACGC